TAATGATGAAATTCGAATAATTTTTTACATTTCTTATCGGGTTAAAAATTATTTCAGAAAATAGAAGTATCTAAGGAAGCAATTCGAAAGCTGATAATGATATTAATAATAATATTTTTTCGACGGATCTATTCCTCTTTCCTATCTAAGAAGGAAGTTTCAAACGAGATTTATTGCATCGAATTCCTCCGATTATATTTAATTTGAGATGAGACATTCTTATAACATTATTTTAACACATGAATAAATTTGACCAAATTGAGTATAATTCAAGATTGACAATAAACAATGACCATGCGTCTTATTTTATGGTTAACTTTTCTAAACATTAAAATTATCCTTTTGTTATTATTATACAATTATTACTGAATGATCATTGCCTAACATCAATAAATTTCACTAAGAAATGATAGTAAAGTTCAATTTAATCCAGAAATACAAATAAACAGATTCACTCAACCCATTTTTGATTTCAATTGTTTGACAGCCTTGATTTCTTTGCCATAAACTAGCTGAACTTCTAGCAGCCTAGTGTAAACTGGGTTAAAAATGAATGATCAAATCTTGTTTCCTTTCATTTGATTTAGTTAAAACACTATAATTTATTTATTTCTTCCATTACTTGATCTAATCAATACAAGTCTGTCCTCAAAATATTTAATAATAATATCGTTACAATATTTCATATATATATATATATATATATATATATATATATATATATATATATATATATATATATATATATCATTATACATCATTATTATTGTTATTATTAGTATTATCTGATTTTTGTCATCCTCTTCCAGGGTCCGAAAAAAAAATTTGGTTTAACAAGTAAATAAACATGAAATAAACAGGGAAAGTGAAAACACTGATCGATGGTAGATAGGAAGTTAGATAAGTAGATAGATGAATAGAATTATCAAGGCCAATTAGCTCTTACCTTGACTCTGAATGTCAGCCAAATTTTTAATATCCATCGGTAAGTTTCATCAACAAAAATTAATGAACAAAACAATTTATCACAAAAAAATGATTATCACGTCTACAGGTTTAGTAAATATTTGGGGGCCGAGATTCTAAATCTGTTTTCCTAAGTAATAATAATAATAATAATGCTGGAATACCAAGCGAACATGACTAATAGTTAATGAAACAGAAAACATATTGCAGAAATCAAATTGATATTGCTTTAAAACTAGTGATTAAGTTACGTACTTTAGGATTGTAGTGTGTTTCTTCAAACTGACAACTTAACTATGTATGTAAACTTTAAAATATATGCATAGTTATTTTAAGAACAGCTTGGTAAAATATGAGAAAAGATAGATTCTACTTCTCATCTGTTCAAAAGACGAAGTTTTGACTATATTTATACTCACGCATTACATCTATCCATTAAAACAATATCATGGGAGAGGAATGTATATATACATATATAGAATTTACTAGTATGAGAGAAAATGCACTTATATACTATGGCGCATTATCACAAAAGAGTAGTAGTATTGGGGACGATTTTATAGTATAGTAGTATCCATGGTACTACTGCTTTAAACCATAACCACTGACATTGTAAGCATAAGAAGTCGGGGAAATAAAGATTTATTGACTTTCGAAAGACACATTAAACCAAATACATTCATTTACATATTGATTATACACATATTTGATTGGTTAACGAACATCACAAGTGAAAAGATATACAGGTTCACTGTAAAACACAAAGTCCATACAGAATAGTATCAAAGCTGAGTTGTTACACTGAAAGAAAGTTCACACCTATCATACTGAAAAAAGTACTTAATGATAAGTACGAAACATATTGATCTGTTGTAATCTTACACTGGGAAATATAAACTCAATACCGTAATGAATACATTTCTACAGAGAGTATTAAGCCGATGTCACAGTGAAAATAAACTTGTGTTGCACTGAATAGAATGTTGAAAGTAAGAAACCAATGTTTTGAAATGTGCCGAATTATAGAGAAATGTGAACTACTCTACTTATCATGTATGTTGAACAACATGCACGGATAAGCAATTGTAACCGACGGTGAAGTTTCAGAAAATGAGAAGCTTCAGAAACAAACAGAAATTCGGCGACAACTGGATACTAGAGCACCATATTTTTTGGCGATTTGTCGATTGTACGCAAAAGATTCAGTGCGACCGTACATACAGAAATCATCGAAAACATTGAAACGACTGAATTGGTAGGTCACTCACCAACCAAGATATTAAGATCTAACTATCAAGCATAAATCTTAATCGTCATATCATCGATCCTAACATAATCTGAAAAGAATTTAGACTAATCCTACTGTTAATAGACATTATTCACGTGATACTCATGAGGATAAACGAGAAGACAGTCATTTAAATTCATAAATATCTATACTGACCATATTATCATAGATTCAAACTAGTGAGTTTGTACCTTAGAATCATTAGACATGTTCATGCTTGAACTCCCTACTATTTTTTTTCTTTAGCAAACACGTCAAACTAATTCGATTACCTACTTAAACATTCCTTTACACTACAATGAAAGAATATTGCTTAGGTATGTGCGACCAATAACCTAGTGTTCCCTATTAGGTGACCGAGTGACGTTTATTCACAAGACACAAAATAAAGTATAGATCTCAATATCGAAAGATATAACAACTAGTCTATCAGCGAATTGATATACTACCTATTTCCAAGGTTGTTTGCCTCATATCTTTTAACGAAGTGGAAAACATCAACAGCATCAGTTAGTTTGAAAGAATTGAGACACGAAAAGACTGTCCTGGAAATATCATGAGTCACTTCAAAAAGCCTTTAAAACATTTGCTAGTTTAATCACTAGGATCCTGATAACAGTTTGTCATAAACTTTTACTTGGGTTTCGGTATTTTATTGTAATGTTTTCCAATGACAGACGCCGACACAAGGCCGTTCGAAATACCGCGATAGTAGGATATCAGTAGTTACGCATGTTTCAGAATGTGGCGAAGGATGAATGTTTGATCGGTTCATAGACGCTTAGATCTGGAATCCGCCAGTTTGCTGTTGAATGATTATTGAAGTTAACATTCTAAGTATAATTACTTAGACTAATCACTCAGTGATCATAGACAATCAATTCTGACAATAAAGTATTAGATTTACAAAAACAACGAATATTGGAGCGAACGATTGTTTTCAAGAAGTTCGTCATCAGCCTCTACCGTTAGACGCCCATATTTGTTGTACTAGTAAATAAAACAATGATAAAACTTTGCATTTGCTTTGGTTAAGTTACCTTAACAAATTCATCACTTCTAGATCAGAAGGATCATTCAGAAACAATGGAAACATGTGTGGTGTCGATTTACAATCAATGTAATAAAATGCATAATAGAAATTTGGTGTGGTTAGCTGATATAACAATGATGAAAATAATAATAACAGTGAATATGATGCATGATGAGAAGCGCTACTAGAGCAATTATAATAAGAAATCTTATGCGAAGTTAGAATAGGACAGGACAGTTATATACCAAAGGGATTTGGAGAAAAGTATTTACAATACTCCTTTTAAGTATATAGTAATCCAATCATGGACTAAAGTAAATCGAGATGGAGCATAGTCCTATTGGATACAGCTTAGATCAGCAAAGGTTGACTTCAATGGCTTCCGCTACACAGAATCATTTTGCACCCTTAGGCTCGGGTTTTTATTCAAACCTGGGTAACCAACTATTATAAGATTTTCAATGGCTTCCAAGTGGATTCCATCCTCCGGTTCCCTGTCTATACGTAACATGTCTCATTTTTAAATCATGAATCACATTCACTGTTATTATTATTTTCATCATTGTTATATCAGCTAACCACACCAAATTTCTATTATGCATTTTATTACATTGATTGTAAATCGACACCACACATGTTTTCACTGTTTCTGAATGATCTTTCTGATCTAGAAGTGATGGATTTGTTAAGGTAATTTAACCAAAGCAAATGCAAAGTTTTATCATTTTCTAAAACACAAGTTGTCTAATTTACTAGTACTCCATGTCTTACAATAATATAATACGGCCATACTTATTGTATGGCCGTTTAACGGTAGAGGCTGATGACGAACTTCTTGAGAACAATCGCTCCAATATCTTCTGCTTTTGAATATTCTATGCAGATTTTAAGCTGCTATGAGTGGCGTGTTACAGATATTTCTAGAAGCTCGGGATAAACAAAGGGATGTGTTCACAAAAATGATAAATAAATGATCTTCAGAAAAGCATGAAATGAGACTTTCTAAAAAAATTCGCAACCAATAAACGAAAAAGCAACCGAATTTACATGATCATATTGATGATCAGTTGTTTGGCAATAATGACATCTCGTAAAAGCATGTTCGAAAAAATAAGTAGATGTTAAAGAAAAAGTAGAATGGCAAGAATAGTAACAAAATCACTGTTGTTAGTTTTTTCATAGATCAGTTCATGTTGCTAGTACAACTGTCAACAGTCAACAGTAGTTTTTTATCATGAATGTTAGTAAATATGATGAAAATATAGTTAACAAGAGAGTAAACCTCAATACTTTTCAATATAAAATCGATGTATTGAGTGTCAGGAGGAACCAAAATAAAATGAGGAAAATAATAATGAGTAATAACTTGAACAAGGATAATTCGGAACAAGGCTGTTCATCAAAAAAGAGGAAAATAATTACTTTACAAAACGAAATAGGTCGAAAGTATAAATAATTTATATGTGAATAACAAAAGTTAATGATGTTTATAATGTAAGAGAAATCATAATAACAAAATATTTCAGCCTCACACTTCACAGAAAACTTCCAAATCGGTTTTTAATAAGCATACAAACAAAATATGTGATGCAGCATAATTGTAAACAGGCTTCAGGTACACACATGGAAGTGACTGTATTCGAAGTAATCTACTAAGTAAAAGATTTCTCCAGCAATCAATATTCTGATGAGAACTCAACGAATCCATGTAACTTATTTTAACAATTTACTGGCTTGCTCATTAGCCTTCTTTATTCGTTCAGCATTTGATTTAGCCTACAATTAAACGCATCAAAGTAGTAAATTTTAGATAAGTAAAACAAAAACACAAACTTAGCATCGATTGACAAGTGTATACTGAGTATATGGTCTTGAGAATGATTCGAAAAATATGAAATTGACACTTGTGGTTAGTAGCTCTAATATACACCATGTTGAAACGACAGATGGTGTCTCATACATTTCCTACATAGAAACTAGGTGGTAATGGAATTTTCGCGAACAGTAGTGATTTATTTGAAAAATTGGAACAAGATTTCCCTGGGATGTATCAATTTTATGGGGCATGATAAAAATAAGACTGAACTAGTGGAAACGAAGCCAAATATATTCAACTTCAATGGTTGGTCGCGAATACTTATATTATAAACAAACAACTCTTGAACAAAGAAAGTAGAATATGCTTCACAGTCCAGGGAGTGAAAACTTCATCCATTGTCTGCCAGTAATTTAGCATTTTAGTATACGGATAAGTGCAAATATTTTGTAAGAATAGTCACCTATTCGATAAAAGATCTAGCCTTTCAATGTCATCTTTAATTACATTTCGTAACGATAGCTTTGGTAACTTGCTCATGTTTTTACACTTCTGATCACGTACGCTGAGTTTGAATACACTAAGCAAAATTGATTCGTCCACTTTATTGTGCTGCAGAATGAATGACAGTAATCTTGGATAAAGACTGACCAATCTGTCGCGAATTTTGAAGACCAGCGGTAACCTAACCGACTGCTTTGAGATATTCTGAATACGAGTTAGCAGTACTTATTCTGTTTCTAAAAAAATGCTTCAGCTCCATAAAATATTGGAAAACACAGAATAAAACTTATTTCGGTAGTACTTTTACGTTAGATACATGTCGTATCATTTATAATTCTCATAATCTCTCATTACTTTAACACACTATTATTCATATTCTGAGGTGTATTTATCTGGTCTATCTGATCTGTAAATAGGTTGTAAAATCCTACAATCAACACCTGTTTTCGAAAGTAGAGTGCTACATCTCCATAAATATTCGAATCTCCTTCAAAAAAATCAATTTTGAAAACTGACGCATCATGAAATATCGAAAACAGGTCAAGAGAAAATATCCTTTGGATACGGAAATAACAAAAAAGTTATCTACCTTGATCTGTATTCGCTCAACTTGGACATTTTGCTGGTTAATTTCACTACCCATATCAATAGCCATGTTACGAAGATTTCCAATCATACCAGAAACCTCCTGCAAATTTTGGTCCATTTCATCCTCTCGTGCATCATTTGTAATTCTAAAACAAGCAAAAGCAGATTTCAGGAAATCTTAGACTAATATTAAAAACTTCAGTCCATAGATTGACACTTAAGTATTAGACCAACATCAGGTAAGTGCCACTTTACTAGACCGAAAGAGGATCTCGAATGATACGCCCAACATTTAATTAATCACTTAACTAAAACTGAAAATTATAATCAATGCCACTAATAAGCCCCAGTAGTTATAGCCACGTGTACAACTGAGTCGAGATATGAGTTTACCGGATATAAAGTGTCGAGCAATGAAGCTTATTTACATTGGCTAATGGAGAAAAGAGCTTCTTTGATTAGTGTATATTTCAATTTAATGACTGTAAGCTTTTTTTAATAACAATCAAATCAAGGCGGATGGTGAAAAACCACCTGTAACAGAAAGGTGATAAATCCTGATAGTTGTCAAAAGAGATTTTCAGTTTCCTCTCTTTATTCCACTATCTGATGAATCCACCTGATAATTATATGGCCAGGGCGATACACGTCGGCTTAAAAGATCTATAATGACTTGAATTTTTCTCAAGTACGACTAAGAGGAATAATTATCAATTACTTAACCAGTAACCTGATAATTATAGAGCCAGCGCGATACACGTCGGCTTAAAAGATCTATAATGAATTGAATTTTTCTCAAGTACGACTAAGAGGAATAATTATCAATTATTTAACCAGTATCATTACCCAATACTATTTACGTTCATTACCAGGCCCTATAAATAATTGAGCTTCAACTCAAACACATCTAGAAGAACATAGATTGACCCTATGACTTAAGTAAAGATATTTTAACTTTGTTGACCATATCAACATTTTTATCAAAAATTACAATTGTGCATTATGAACCTTGAACAACTTACCGTGTAATATAGCCACCGGTTGGACCCATGCCGTTTTGATCTACAATTATTCGAGGTCCATCCCCACCCCGCATATCCTCATCCTTTAGTTGCTTGGTGTAGTCATCTTTCTTTTTTACTCTAAAGGATATAATAATGAGCAGCTTTTAGTTCGCTTATAAGGGTTTTAAAGTCATTAAAACTGGATAAACATGTGCAAGATAGAGGTTACTAATACAGTACTTCGTACTACCAATTAAGTTTCATGCAAAAAGATATGATATGGGATTTTCGTAATAGTTTTTAGTCCTAAATGTATCTTTCAGGAGATTATCTAACTTTATCTAATAAATAAACTAATGTTTATACCTATTCAGTTATAATTTTCCATCAAATTTATTGGTAATGAAAATTAGATAATCTTTAATAAAATGCTTAAGCTGAATTTTATTTCATACATTGTGGATAATGACTGCGAGTGATAAAAGTCGCAAGAAAATGAAAAAAATAAAGTTACTATGACTAACTACATTGGGATATGAAAATTTACATAAACAAATGGTGCATCTTGATGGTTATGCGCATATTCGTATACCCATTTGTGTCCCAAAAATTAACCAGATCCTATAGTTTTGAAAGGTTGTCAGTTTAGTTTTCATCACACAAACAAGTGACTAAATAAATGAACCATAACAAAATACAACGTTTCGTCATTTGGTATGATTACAACTTAATCTAAGTCTTCTACGGAAAGTCACACAGAACTTCCAGCTCAATTGCAACAATACATCCAATGGATTTCTACCGTTTAAAAGTCAATAATACATTAATCTTATTTTCCCTTGTTTCTATGAATTAGATATACATAATAAATGGCTGTTACAGAAGCACTACTTTACTTACATAGTCCAGCTCAACTTAATAGTCAATGTTCGCCTTTGTCAAAACCGAAACTAGGATTGCCTGTAAGGTTAGTCTCTACAAAAATTAGTTCGTGTGAACTTTAGTTCCTCAACTACCGTAGAGATGCAATTATCAATTAAAATCCCATAGTAGCAGAGGTAGCAGTAGTATTAGCAGTAGTCAGAGAGGTTAGAGTTCGAAGATATGATTCGATAAGTGAGATCTAGTGAAATAAACCTAAAAAGAAAAAGTTTAGGATTTGAGGGAACACGAAGAATGAATGCACCTGCACCATTGCAAACGGTTTTGAGCCATGTCATTCAGAGTCTCTAACCATCCATTATTATCATCTCGTGGACCCCAACCACAGCTAACGACATGACTCAGTCCATTTGTCAGTGACTTCATGGATTTGTGACATATGTGGTCTGGCCGTCGCTAGCGTTCTTCCAACCTATTCCTACATCGCGAAACATAGCTCGACGAGGCAGTCGGTAGTTAGGCGTACGCAACACATGTCCCAACCACCTCAACTGATGCAGTTTCTGCACTTCATCTGTTGATATACCACCCTTACCTAAGGCCCGTTTTCTAACTATAGCATCGATTACTCGGTTGTCCAACGATACTCAAGCAACGCTTCGGAGACACCTATGATCGGAATGTGTAGTCACGGAAGGTTTACTAAATAACCATAAGATAATGCTGAAAAACAGACTTACTTATTCCAAGGCAATACACAAAGTCCACAGCATTTGTTTAGATCATCCAGATTTTTCTCAGCATCCTTCATGTCTTGATTAATCTGATCCATACCCTCGTTTATACGATCCAATTGTTCTGAAAAATTGATTCAAAAGTTTCCAGAATATTTGTAAAGCACAACTCAAATGCGTATCCACATTTTGCACATCAAAAAAACTCACAGCGATACCAAAAACAGTGGATGTGAGTTAAAACACAATCGTAGTCTATTATTAGATATATACATGCATGTATACACACATCAGATTATTCTTGCACAGGACACAACATTTTACCTAAACCAACTTCGCACTAATACAAAGCCAGAATATATTTAATATTCAGTCTAGACAACAACTTTACAACACGAAATCTAGAAATTAAGTCACAACATATATATTTAGTCTCACCGCCTTGATCATCTAACATGACCAATGTAGAAATGCCAGCCTCTTTAGCCTAAATATTACATAAAGACTTAGTACATCATATTTTTGACTTTGATCAATCACTACCATTAATTCAAAAAAGACTCACCTCTTCACACAAAGCCATCATCCGTCGGGAGGCTTCCAATGACTAAAAGAAAGTGTTAAATTCGAAAAGATTGAAATGAATAACAAGATAATGGAAGAGTTCTGTCAAACCAACTGCGATACAAAAATGCGTACATTAGAATAATAACTACGCCATACACAAACTCCTTCCTTAAAAATGTTTAGTGAATATTTGGAGAACATGAAATATAATGAAATAACTAATACTTGACCACAACAAGATCATATGAAGTTTGATTCTACAATTACACTGCTTGCAGTTTTTTGATGTGAAGATAGAATAAAACATGAACCTTAAAAAACAGAAAAATTTTCGGAAACAACGAAGCGATCGGCAAAAATAATTACTTACAAAATAAATCAATCTGTAAAGAATGGGATACCTACATCTGAGGTTGTTTCATCGATCTTCCTCTGGAGAAGCTCTACTTCTGTCATTGGTCTAATGGTTCCATCATCTAGTTGTACTTCGTCATAACCACAAACAGGATGACGAGATTTTTGTGGCATTTCTTAGTTAATACACCCAAGTTGAATAAGTAAAACCGCTAGTTTGATATGACTAGTTACATAATTTTGGATGAAAATATTAGGCATGAATTGTATTGTTGAGATAGTATCCATAAATTCTACAACGCATTAAGGACAGAGCACAGTTTCCAACAAATTGATCATTATTTTTATCAGATATTACAGGACTAAATGACAGAAGATATTATAACATTTTAAGAAATATGTTTGGCTACAAGCAAACAGGCGTGATTGGGTTAACGAATGAACTAAAGAGGACAGACACACTGGCAGACAGACGACCACATTTTTAGCTTAAAATTTTATACTACTAACAAAAAGAACAGTATACAGTTCAGAGGATAATAAACTTTTGTTTCCGTTTGACAAATCTGCAATTAATAAATTCAAGTTGAAAGTGAAGCTACAAGTTCTGAGAAAATTTCAAAAACTTTTTACAAAGAACATCGATATTTTCAAGTCATAAAGCCTTGGAGACTGTGGTGATATTAGGAACCTAGTCTGAGTAACAAAATGAAGATATTTTTATTTGTATCGGAATGGAGAATTAGTTAGTTACAAGTAACTTGCAAGAACATTTTGACTAGATTGTTCGAAATGTATAATGCAAATATATTTTCCCCAAAACGTCTTTTTACTGTTCCATCGGACTTCATGAAATGGACTACTTGTTTTAACTTGCAAGAAGATAGCGGGAACTGATCAACTAGCAAAACTTAAGAGATGGAAACGGATTCGTGAGGTTATACAACACTCGTTGTGCTTGCAGCCAGTGGCCGTTCAAACGGAGAGTGGCTACATCAGTGTAGCCGCTTTTTATCATAGAAAGCAGCGTTGAGGTCATCTGTTGGCTGGTCAGACCGATTAGCGCTGAAAACAGAGATAATTTTGATAACGGTTTCATCAGACTTACACCATTATCTTCTTTTTAAATGAAATTCAGTGAATTATACTTTATGAATATCTTCAGACCCTAATCTTTTTCATTACCACTAGTACTCTAACATATACTATCATGGGATTTGAATTGACAATCGCACCTCTGTGCTAACGTAGTATAGCGACTCAAACTGACGGACGTACGCACAGAATTCCACGTTGCAGGTGACTGATTGACACTAGTTGGTGGGACTACAAAAACCCTACCTAGGCTTGACAAAACGAGTGACGCAAGTTATCGGTATATTGGATAGTAAGAACCAGTTAAGTGAAATGGATTAAGTTCTTCTTGAAGTACCGAAGAGCTGAAAATTCAGCTTGTACTCACTTCGTTTAGCCCCGTTTAAGCTACGTATGCGGTGATAATGACGTTGTACAAGAGAAAAATTTATGTTTGGAGGGAGTCAGGAGTCTTTATCCCAATCTGGGTTGTGTACGGAGTTATCATATTAGCCTTCTACAATCCAGAGACAATACCTGCCCGAGATAAACGGCTTATAACCAAACGAACCCAAATTACTGGTTACGTTAGGAAAACTGAAGGGAATTCGGACATAGCGAAGCTTACACGATTCGTTTTGACTATAATTGTACCGCAACGTAGTCTTGTACCACAAGTTAGAAACCACTGGTTAAAAAACTTTCCAAACTTGGCAGCTCACCTGACTCAAGTAATGAAGATCTATTGATCGTGTCAGTTACTCAGATGTTGAATATTAACTCACTGCAGAAATAATTACGAGGATTAAATGATGAGGGCACAATAAATTTTTAACGAACAGTATTTCGACAACACACTGGCTTTGTTAAACAAGCCTGCTGAGCAAAACAATCTTTCTGTGGGATATACGAGCTCTGGAAAAAGTAAAGTACTAAATAAAGCCTATTTGAAGGTTGAGCCAGTTAGGTGCAAGTTAACCAACGTAAAACACTACTTGGAATTGCCGACAAGTGGATAGCCTATTTGCTAGTATTGCATATAAGTTCCTGAAAAAATAATATCACATCAACCGGATATTCAGCGTGAGCACTAGGACGACCTGAGCCACTAAGAGGTTAATCTTCCAAAGCATGTACGTATTCATGGAGAACAAAAACCGAGTATAACAGGTTTTGTGGGCTTTGTTCCAGTAAGCACGTTCATCACTTGTGTCAACGCATTTCGAACACATAAGTTAAGCACCCAGTCTGTTCCACTCAACATTCCATTAAGACCAAAACAGTTGAGCTTTGGGGCAGAGAGCAGCCTTATACTAACATTTCCTAACTGGAAAATTACCTGAGTATCATGATGTTTTTTCGCTTTTCTGGGACTAACGCTCAGTAGGACGGCCGAATACATATAACAGGCAGTTTTCTTGTTTCGTAAATGCGACACATTACACTAACCAGCAGTACGTGTCCATGAAAATTTTCAAACGGAAAGTGAACACATCCAAAGAAACTGATACTAGATAAGCGACTAATGAAAAACAAACTCTTGGACTGGTAGGGAGTATTGATAGAAAAATTGCTGGCAGATAGTGGTTTGTCTGTGGCGTTTAAAAAGTTATCCGATCGAAATACCCTGTTTAAAAACAAACCTCATCAGTCGTTTGATTCATCTTGAATTTAATCTGCTCATATTCGGTCATAGGGACCTGTGACTCGTCCATAATTGCACTCATTGATTCTCTCTCGTAAGGACGCGCCAATCGACTCGAACCAGTGTTTATAAACAACTAAGCACTAAGTTTTTAAAGCACACATAGAGTTCTAGTGCTCTGAATAAGTATAAAATGATTAGTCCTCAAACCTTTATTTTTAACATTGCATTTTGTGAAATTTTCCATCTGTTTCGTGTGCAGTATATTTGTACGATGTCCAACTATTATCAACACTTGGTATTCATTTATTTAGTTGTACTGTAAATGAATATGCAGTTGCGCTAAATATTTTATTTAAAGCATTATTTTTATTATGTATGACTCCATATTATCATTACAAGCCCCTTGGTAGTATTTAATGATGTCAGATTAAGTTCTTTGAATGATTCTGACAGCTGACTAATAGATAAGTTTTCAGGCATAATTGATAAACTCACTTCAGCACAAGAGAATTTCTATCGCACTTATATAATGCATACCAAGAATCTATCTGTCACATAACATCATAATAACGGAATCGTTTGAGTAGGGAGGAGAAGGGAAGAAACAAAGTTGTATAAACGGTTGAACTCGAACGAATGACCAATAAATTTGCAGTTATAAAATGTGAATAACAACGAAGAGTGAAAAGCCTAAACTTATGAAATAGGAAATGATAAGGCTTCCACCAGTTCAATCAACAACCGTTTCAGCCCGAAGCGTCAGTAAGTGGATACGTACTTATTACTATTGGTTCCCAGATATTCAACTTCCACCTGCTAACCATTATTTTTGATGTTAACAGCACTGTTTTACGCTGGAGAAACTTTCAGCTGTACGAAGTATTCCGTAGATTGGGTATGATTTTGGTTTCTTTAGAAAATCATGATCTACTATTAGGCACAGTTTTTGACCTAATTTAGTGAGTGAATTTCTAGCTGAACAGAAGGTATTTTTGGCAGTAGTACGAATTTCAGTATGTTAGATCATACAACAACTACTACCTCCAGTGATTGTATGCTAACTGCTTATGAAACTCAGATTTAGGTAAATCATTGGCATCATAACGTTTACTTGTTCTAGTAAAATAATCAACCTAATCTAATATTGTAGACGTACTAATGTGTGAAGGACTAATCTCTGTGGATATATCATAACCACGGTTGTCTGTCTGGATTTGTTCTATTAGATACTTTTTTGTTCGATAACAGAGCCAGGTTTCATCGTTAATCTATCAAAAATCTTGAACAACACCCAATTCACCGAGCTGATCGAGAGATACGAGGTATAACTTAATCATTAGATAAACATCTGCTCGTATCCCTCCAAACATTACTCACATGATCACTGAACAAAAATGTAAAAATAGGCGGAGCTCACTATAACCCGACTAGATCAACGTTTCAAATAAGCAACTTCATTTACAGAATTAACGTTTCAACCACTGAACCGTGCAGTTATTTTCTGAGAAAAATAACACTACAATATTCGTATCATGAGGATTCCCTGACAAGGTACACACTTTAGTTCTGATCTTCTATACAGCTCTCCATACAATTATGTTTGCATCATCGTCTGGCTAAACAAACACCTTTTCTATTTTCTGATACATTTTGTTTTCATCGAGATTTAAGACTACAGACGGTGTGACACGTCACTGATACTGAGGTTTGTTTCTTATGCTTGCTAGCTTCATAAACTCGTGTTTTCAAATTTATGTTAAGTTTGCCAACACAGGTAAAAGTGCTATGATTAAAATGTTGATATTTGATAAGCGAGATTATTAGATAAGAAAAAGTTATGATGATAGAGTTATAAGAGTTCGATAGCACTGTATATTTGTTTGGTACGGGGATGAATTTATCAAACAACCCTTGGGCTTTTAAATCTGAGAATCCTTTTACTATTCGGACCCACTGCACATGTTTACACTCAAAAACTGGTCACTCTTTGTTCAGTAATTCACCCCCATATCCTTTGACTACAGTTAGCTTTAGCAGATGGTATGAGGATTGTCTGATGATCAGACGCACAATTTTTCGGCGACGAGCGTTTGGACTTTATTGAACAGCCATAACCACTGGACTTGCTACTCGTAATTCCTCCGGCAACAGTTTCAGATCAAGCAGCTATATTGATTGAACTTAAACCTGCGCTTTGCCAGCGCACGTTGTCATCAAAGTCAAAGCCTAAAATGTACCTTTTCTCTGCTACCTCATAACAGCTGCAAGGATATGGCAGGTCCATCATTCAAATGCATTTAGTATTTAGTTGATATATCCCCATTATCACTTTATAATAAAACTCTTCTGCTTACTAATGCGCTCTCTTGAATACTGCTACTGAAAGAAAACAGTAAATGGGATATATGCCCGTAAAAACCGTGTACAATCGCTATATTAGAAGTGAGTTTGTTATTGTTGCTTATGCGTTAGCTTGTAACTTGGCGATATTGTATCTTGTCTGAAGAATATGAAATATCTTTATTCACATTACACCAAGATTTAAGCAAGAAAATTTTGAGCGGCGACAATGAGTATGTAAGAAAAACGCTTATCCTGCCGTCATACACAAAGAACAACTCCAAAATCAACCTTACCAGTACCTGTACATTGGGCTTGATATTATTTAAAACATGTGAACATGCTCCCTTTGCTGCCCTGAACTCGGTTTATTTCTCGTCTTTTATTGGATATCAACATGTTTAGTTTAGTGTGCATAAAATCCATTCCCGACAAAAAAAGAACTTAAAATTTAACAGTTTTGTCGTCGAATATCATTTCTGCACGTTAATTTTACGAACACATGATCGAATAAAGATTTGAGTGAAGGATACTTTCATGCGTCGCTTTGTAATATTTTGTACGTATCTAAATATTTGTTTGTAAGAATTTCCGCGCTTTTCATCATTTAAATGAATAATAATCATAATCGTAATCGAAAATAGAACTGTGTTAATTTAAGCACTTCATTTCATCTAATACATCTTAGAGATCCACCTGAAATTAAACTGCCTCCAATCTCTTTTAACTACGTCATCTAGTTCTTTACCCATCTGCTGCTATATTATAAGCATGACTGTTACAGTTCACTGAAAAAAACTTGTGTGACAGTTGACCTGATGAAATGAAGATAACCCTAATTTAATTTGTCAGCCACCAATGCAAGATTCGTTATGTTTCCCACTGATGGAATGCGTATTTCAACCTGGACTTGGTTGTATAGACCACATCTTCACACTACGACAGGTCCTGGAACATAGACACACATTTAGACGTCCGACAATAGTCGTGTTCCTGGACCTAAAAGCGGCATTTGACTCAGTGGATCGTGAGGTTCTTTGACAGTGTCTGTCAATGAAAGGTGTACCAAAGAAGTACATTAACCTTATGCAAGCACTCTACTCGAACACTACTGGTCGAGGGAGAGCTTATGGCGAACTGTCATCTGAATTCCCTACATCAAGTGGTGTCTGTCATTGATGTCCACTCTCGCCATTCTTGTTTAACTTTGTTGTAGACATCCTCTTAGAGTTAACATTAAGCTCGTCAGATTTTTCAGGGGTTGACCTTCTACCAGGAAAATCACTTACTGATCTAGAATATGCCGATGACATAGTTCTATTCGGTGAAGACGCTGACAAAATGCAGAGTCTTCTGACTACCCTAAGCAACAATGAAAGCAGGTTTGGCATGCGGTTTCCCCGTCGAAATGCAAAATGTTGCTTCAAGATTGGGTTGCATCGGCACTTGAACTAGTGATAGGGAGTGAAGTAGTCAAGCGTGTTGATCGCTTCACTTATCTGGGGAGTCTCATTAGCGCTGATAGCCTGGTGACTGACGAAATCTACGCGCGGATACAGAAAGCCCGATTTGTTTTTGCCAACCTGCGTCACTTATGGCGTAGGCGAGATACCCGTTCGCCGACCAAAGGACGGGTGTACTGCGCAGCAGTTCACTCCGTTCTCCTACATGTATGCGAAACATGGCCGTTTAGAGTAGATGTTCGTAGGTTACTAGTATTCGATCATAGATGTTTAAGGAGCATTGCTTGTATATCTTTGGGACAACCGTATAAGCAGTGCTGTCGTTAGGAAACGGGTGCTAGGTAAGGATGGTAGATCAGTAGATGAAGTTGTGAAACTTTATCAGTTGGGACATGTGTTACGTATGGCTAACCACCGACTCAGTCAGTCAGTCAGATGCAACGTAGAACTTCGTACGTAAGTACATCAGCTCATGTTGCCATACCGACCACCGACTGCCTCGACGAGCTATGTTTTGTGGTGTAGGAGTAAGTTGAAAGAAAGCTAAGGGCGGCCAGACCAAAACATAGCAGAAATCCATGAAGTCACTGACAAGTGGACTGAGTCATGTTGGTAAATGTAAACTACCTGGTTGGGGTCCGCGGGACGAAAGTCACCAATGGTTAGAGACCTTGAACGACCTGGCTGAAAATCGTTTGCAATGGCGCAAGTGCATCCATTTGTTGAGCTCTCTCAAATCCTAATCTTCTGGATTCGTCAGCACCTCTACCTTTGTCTTTCTAACCTTATCTCACTGAATTATACTTCTTGAATAATATCTTCAAACCCTAGTCTCCTTCATTAACATTAATACCTCTAATATTTCTATCACTATGGGATTTGATTTGACATTTGCGTCTCGTTGCTAATGTGGTATGGCAACATGAACTTATGTACATACCTACGAAGTTCTACGTTGCAACTGACTGACTCTCCAAGCAGCGGAATTATTCCTCGGGGTTTATAAGTTAGAACCTCTTGATAAATGAGGCTAAGTTTAAACTCATGAAACTGTTTAAAAGGCCTTACCTTGAATACTTTTCACTTATCTTTTAAAAAATGAATCTTATAAGCAAGATACGAGTAGACAATATCCAAAGATGCTTCACACAGAGACTGCTAGGGTGAAACCACTCTATCGACTACACATAAAGATGCAAACATCTTTCTGTAGAACCTCTATTGCCCGGTCAGTTGAAAAACAGCCTAAAACTCTTCTACAGGATATTATATGGCC